ATCCATTCAAGCTGATCTTCTAGAAAAAGAGGGTCAACTCACCTTTCCTTTACACCAATAACTGACTCTACCATACCCTATTCTAGAAGAATCAGCAAAGCCTGAGAACCTGTTACTAGAACACCTCTGGTAGAGCATCTGGTTGCCTACACTGTTATGGCTTCCTCTTGTCAACAACCATTATGACACCATGTGGCCAAGTCTTTGAAAATGTTTCCAATTGATAAATATCCTTCTCTCACACATATCCCTAACATATGCCCTGCTTTGTAGTAGGTATGGGATTTTTGTTCTTAAAGATTTTATTTATTTGAGAAAGAAAGTAGAAGAAGGAGGAGGAGGAGGAGGGGCGAAGTGAGAGGGAGAAGCAGACTCCCCGCTGAGCATGGAGCTGGACATGGGGCAATCCCAGGACCCTGAGATCATAACTTGAGCCAAAGTTAGGTGCTTAACCAACCGAGCCACCCAGGTGCCCATGATATGGAAATTTTGATGGTGGTTGGGGGTAGTACATCACACAGAGAACAGAGGTGACAAAGAGAAGAGGTGGACAAAGTACAAGGCAAGTTCAGAGGAACAGTGAGTAATCAGAAAGCCCTGAGTTCAGAGTGATCGGCGATACATTTAGCTGGCACAGGACAGGCACTGATCAATCAGAATCAAGGCTGGCTGGGGGAGCAGAGCAGGGTTCTGCAGGCTCCCTGCTGGGCCAAACATCACCCCTTTTAAGAATGGATTGTGGAAAGCATTGGTTCTGGGGGAGAGCACGGAGCCCTGGCGGCAGTAGAGGGCTTTGGGAAGATGGCTCAAAAAAGTGGCAACTTATCTACTAACAGGAAAGTATTTTAATATTTTAGTAATAGTATAGCCATCAGAGTGCTTGCCTGCTGATATCAACCCAGACATGGGTGCTCTCCTAGCAGTACTCTATGCAGCTATAGAATGTTCCATGCCTTTTTCTGAATACGGACATCTCCTCTCAGACTTAATTCTACAGGGAGACCTCTAGAAACCATTTTCATAGGGACTAATAATATTCTGTAACATGGGAGGGGAAAAGCTGTAAAGAAGTTCCATAACACTCTGGCTAGGCACTTAGAGAAATGAATGTCTTTTACAGGAAGATAAGAAACGAGGAAGGTTTCAGACATGTCCTGACTCACAAAGCTCTCATTTTCCACACCCAACTGTGTCAACACAGTCAGCTCTGGAGGCACAACAAAAACACTGAAACAGTTTTTGTAAACTGTCACTCTTGCCCAAGAAATAAACCTTCACATTCCGTCTAAGGTGTTTTATTCTCACCACTCCTGAGACCTGAGGAGGTAGCAGGAAAAATGCTCATCTATATTTGGTATGGGGACTCCTGAGGAAGTTGAGTTCTGGGGATCCCCTGGTTCCCAGGGTCATGAGTCCCTCTTTTGGTATAATCCTTAATTCTCCCTATCAAATGAGCAGGGGGATCAGGCTCAGGAACATAATTAGTCCATTGAAAATGAAATAATAGGAAAGAACATAATATATATACATATATGTATATATATGTATATATATGTATATATATATATTAAAGACCCATTTATTTATTTTTAGAGAGACAGAGAGAGTGTGCGAGCAGGGGGAAAGGCAGAGGGAGAAGGAGAAGCAGACTCCCTGCTGGATGCAGAGCCTGCCTCAGGGCTGGATCTTATGAATCTGAGATCATGACCTGAGCTTAAATCAAGAGTCAGAAGCCCAACCGACTGAGCCACCCAGGCACCCCAGAGCATAACATATTCTTAATATTAGGTGCAGAAAATGGGCTTTTACGTATTTGTTTTGGCAGAACACTTAACATGAGCCATGGCATCTAGTGATCTCATTTTACCTGGACACACTGTCCCCAAGGGCCATTTCCACTTACATGAGTCATGCCTGAAGGCCTTGGTGGATCAGGTGGTATGTTGAACCGATGACCTTGTCAGAGTTAAGATTGTAAAAGACAAAGTTAAACAGGCAAATAAGACCTCATTCAGGACAATTGCAACAGAGGAGTGATGCTAAACTCAATTCCACTGAAGCAAGGACCTGGAGGGATTTTCAGAGGTGGGGTGGGGGGAATTGTGAACTGCCCTTCACAATTGGAGCAAGGTGCCCACCAAAGCCAGGTGTCTTTCCTCCCACAGAGATTGGGAGACAGGGTGCTATCTCATTTGATATTTTCATTTTGAAAAGAATGTCCCAAGGTCCCTAAGAAAGACAATCCTGGATTGAAAAAGCAGCACGAGACTAGGAGAAGAGATCTGCATAGATTTCAAAGGGTCAGAGAAAGAAGTTACAGTTGCAGTTTTCTAAAGTAAATACTCTAAGAAAAGGGAGGTCAGGGGCCTATCATCAGGAAGAAAACTGTCTAAACTTTGGTCAACTTGAGGAGAATGTTAAAGCCAACTAGGCCATCCTCTAAGGCAATCCATAAGTGCTCCACAAAATTTGTTCCTGCTGCTTGAGAATAATCCTGGACCCAGTGATACATTAACTTAGAAATTCTGGATCCCCATGTGGGTACCTTCTTATGAATAGCCCACTGAAATAAGCTTATAAATGTTCCCTTTTAATGCCCTCACTCAAGAGTATTTTCACTGACTAAATTAATAAACATTTATGAAGTACCTATTCTGTGCTGGGCATCATTTCCATAGAGTAAGATAGAAACTTGTCTTCAAAGAGATCTCAGAACACTGGAGAAGGAAGATGAGTAAATGAAGTTGGAAAATTTAATGTGAAAGTTCCTCAAAAATACAACGGTACCATGTGACCTAACATCTGCTTCTAGGTATTTACCCAAGAGAAATAAAAACGTATGTCCACTCAAAAACATGCACAAAATGTTCATAACAACCTTATTTATGATAGTCAAAAGGTAGAATCAACCCAAATGCCCATTAAGTGATGAATGGATAAATAAAATATGGCATATGTGTACAATAGAATATTATTCTGTAGCAGGGAGAAATGAAGTACTGACGTGGGCTACAACAGAAATGAACCTTGAATACAGTCACAATGCATCACAGATTGTATGATTCCAATTAGATGGAATGCCCAGAACAAGGATATCAGAGACAGAAAGTAGATTAGTGGTTGCCTAGGGCTTTGGAGGTTGAAAAAATTGGGGAGTGTCTGCTAATGGGTATGGGATGTCTTTTTGGGGTGATGAAAGTGTCCTAAAGTTGATTGTGGTGATGGTTTAACATATTCACAAAATTACTGTTGTGGGAAAATGAGGTCACTGGATTTGCCATTAGAAGATCCCAGAAGTGTCAGATACTTGATTTGTCCAATGCATGTCCTTCAAACTTCCTCCTGTGTTCTCCACCTCATTGAATGGTCTTGCCATCCAATCACACAGTTCCCCAAACCAGAAACACAGGACTCATCTGAATGCATACTTCCCAGCTTCTCGCTGCCTCTAGCTAATCAGTTGAGCCCTACAGATTCTTTCTTCAGTCTTTTGAAATGCTCTGTCTTCTCCATTCCTGCTCCTCCTGCCTTTTGCTGACACCATCTCCCACCTGGATTAATGCAAAAGCCTTCCCTAAGTCCTAGTGCTTAATCCTTCCCACCCTCCACATCCCTGGGATGATAGTGTTCCTAAAAAAAACCCTCCTGTCACTTGTCTGCTCAAAATCATTCAATGGTTCATGACTGTGTCATGATAGCAAAAACATATTCAATGCTCCATGTGCATCAAGCACCATTCTGACTTCAGATGTGTTACCTCCAATCCTCACATCGGTCTGTATGACAAAGGAGGGGAGTAGGCATGGAGAGGTAAGTGACTTGCCCAAGGCCATGCAGCTGGCGAAGTCTAGAGCTTTGGTTGAGTCCAGGGCGCCTGGCCAGGGTCTGTGCTTATAGTCTACACACCAGGCTACCTCACAAAGATGGAAACCAAACTCCTTCCTGTGACCTCGGTCCTGCCTATCTCCCACTCTCCATGTTCCTGGGTCCTGTTGTTATTAAATGGCCTGCATTTCCTCAAAATGGCCTCATTTAGCTTTGCCATGCCAAGTATGACCAAGAAGTTAACTGATGAGACAACTGGGGCACATGACTCCCATGGGTTCCCCTCCTCTCCCTATGCCTTCAGGTAGGTGTGGGCTGTGCTCTAGGTCTAGTGATGGTTGCCATTAAGAAAACTCTAAGCAATGTTCAAAGTACAATTCTTCAACGAGTAACAAAGAGTTGAGGATTGTTCATAATAAATGACAATGACAAGAACATATCTCCAAAGGGACTACACTCCGATGGCCCTACAGAGCTCTGATCCCATTGGTGTTCCCACTTCTAGGAACTCACTTCCTCCCCTACATGAGGTGTGCCTTTGTCTCCTTCTAGAGACACATGCTCAGCTGTGGGCTCTTCACACACTGTGCACTGTTTCCCCTCTGCAGTGAAAGGCAGACTGCCTCTTTTCCTCAGTCTTGAAAGGGCACTGGGACCCCACCACAGAGGTCCGTGTTTTGCTTGACAGTGAACATCAGCTGGGGGATAGGTCACAGTGAGGGGCACTCTGGTTACTGTTGTAACAGCCTGTGTGTCTATGTGAGGGTTACCTGAGGGGGTCTTCTAGGCTTTCTGGTACTTCCTTGCCTGATATCTCAGTCAGTCTCCCACTGAGGCCTGCTCCCTTCCCCCAACAGGCTTCAGCCTCCAGGACTAGGGTCCCCACCTCCCCTGAAGCAGATGCCAGGATCTCTGAGTCTTTCGAATCGCAGACTCTCGGGATGGGCATTCCAACAGCAACTCCTTGGGTGCGGAATCCTGGAAAGGCCACTCCAAAGCTGTCTCAGCTGGGGCCGGACAACGACAGGCTCTGCTTCTGTAAAGGTCTGCAGACGCCAAAAACATCTCCAGTGCTCCAGGAGGAGCAGCCAATGGAAGCCGCAGCTAAGACCCCTCCCATTCCCCCCCCCCCCCACCAAGGGGCATCCAGGTCTCCTGCCTCCCTCCCTCCTGGCATGCCTGGCACAGACGTGAGGAATCTGGTGGCTGGCTTCAGGGTCTGTAGAACCCTCTCTGTCCTGTGGTTCCCAAAAAGAGCCTCAGCCCTTCCAAAAATGGTCTGGAGACAGCTCTTTCTGGCCTCCTGTCTCTCAGCTGCTGTGCTCCTGACCAGTGAGTATGGAGAGGACCGGTGTTAGGTGAGGCTGTTCAGCTGGTCCAGGTAGAAAGAGGGGGTGTTTGCTGTTAAGAGGGCTGTGCCTGGTGTGTATGTGTGAGAGTGTGTGTGTGTGTGTGTGTGTGTGTGTGTGTGTGTGTGTATTGTAACACAACATAGAAAGAACAGCTTACTTGGTGGTTTCCTGGGGAGACTGCTCTGGGGCTGGGATGTGAGGGTTCCAGGGACCCACACTGGGGTCTCGCAAGTCACAGTGGTGGGGAAGGACTCTCCCAGCCCAGCTCTGGGTGAGGGCTCCCTTTGAGGTGCTGTGTCCCTCACCCTGTGCTCTCCCACAGTGCTGCAGGAGGGGACTGGTGCATCAGTGGTTACCCGGCAGGTGGCAAGACAAGATGCCCAGGAAGGTGAGTGCAAGGGCCACCCAGGGGTGCAAGGCAGGTAGGCCAGCCACTGCGGTGGCCCTGGCAAGCCTGGGTTGGTTGTGACCAGCCTCTCTCGGGTTTTAGATGTGGAACAGAAGATCTTCATGCAGGAATCAGATGCCTCCAATTTCCTCAAGAAGCGGGGCAAGCGGTCCCCCAAATCCCGAGACGAGGCCAACGGTAAGTTTGCTGGAGGTCTGCCTTCTGCTTGCCCCTCCCATTCCTTTCTCACAGTCAGCTGGGCTGTGGGACTACAAGGGGACCAAGGAGGGCCTCCATCTAGGCCATTGGGTATCCAAGTGATGGAGGCTCTGAATTAGGAATTCCACTTTTCCTCAGCTGCAGGTCACATCTTGGAGTACACTGACAGGGTAAGGAATGAAAACGGGCAGTGCTACATCAAAAGCACTTAATAGACACTGAGATGCCTCCCAATTTCAGGAAGTTTCAAATGGAAGCAGAAATAGGTTCTAGTCAGGTGGGAACACAGTATCTAGTGTGTGCTTTCTGGGGGTATCAGACAGCAAGTCATGCGCAACAGCTACCAACAGCACTAGAGGTGGGGAGAGGGCGCCTGGGACTGGGAGCTGGGACTGTGGAGTTGGTGACAGCTTCCTCTCCTCGGCCCCAAGTTTCCTTATTTATAAGCCCCTGAAATTGTAGTATTCAGCCAGTAGTGGTTTTTGTTTTCATTTTTTATTTTGGTTTCCAATGCCTCTGGAAGGCTTTTGAGCTTGGAAGTGTGTCTCCCTCTCAGTCTGAAGTAGGCCCTGGCATCCCCTGCCTGGCAGGGACCCTCATTTCCATGACCTGACGACCCTTGAAGGCATCTGAGTTTTTTGCCCTTGAACTAGATTCTTCCAAGGACTCTGAGCACTGTCTCTGAGTCTGTGGCTTGATTCATTACTTGCACATGTGTCTGAATAAACTCTTTGTGTCCCTCAGCATGCTCAGCAAGGCTTACTTGCTCAGTAAAAATAACAGGACTGTTTTCAAATGATGAAAATGTGTGGAGATGAAATTCCTTTCCCCCAGCCCCCAACCAACTGGATAAGTACGAATTACACTGGGAAAATCTCCAGGCCTCACCCAACTTGAGATTTAGAAGTTAGCAAACATCCAGAAACACAGGAAGGGCTATGATGAAGGCCGGAAAGTTCTTGATGGAAATCAGAGAAGCAGCCTCTTCTTGTAGGAGAGGCAAGTAGTTTCCATCCTCATAAGCTGATTCAGAACCACGAGGAGTGTGATGAAGCCAGAGGCCCTCACCTCAAACAGAAGCTGTGTGTGTCAGTTGTGGGGGTTCAGGATAGCCTGGTGAGGAAGTTAGGATGCGCCTGAGTCCCATGTATGGACAGGAGAACAATGCTCAGTTATGTCTCAGGCTGGGTGAAAGGCAAGTGACAAAGATAGGCTGGAATCTGGAACCAGGAAACAGGCACCTGACATCTCTAAGCTTCAAGGTGAAGATGCAGGAGGTTCCTTTAGGATGACAGGAGGCACTCAGAATGAAACGCAGAACCTGAGAAGGGATGTACATGATGCACGGTGTCGTTGTGGCATTTTGTCTGAAGACTTAAATTGTTCCTAGCCCTTGCTGAGTCAAGGGCCCCATTTGTCGTACCCCCAGAAAGGGAATTTGGGAAGACAGCTTCTTTTCTGAAGTCCATAGAAATGGAAGATGCTTCTTTAGGAATTGGTGATGGCTCATTAAGCACTTGCTTCCTACACTCCAAACCACTTTCTTTCCCATCCCCATGGGATTTCTGAGACCTGGAGCAACACTGGAGCTCAGGGTGGGTCATAAGGGGGATGATAAGGTGAAAGGTGTGTTCTGGGCCAAGTAGTGAGTGTGGGCTCTGGTTTGTCCCAAGCTATGCCTTGACCAACTGTGTGACTTTGATTAGGTCACTGAACCTCTCTGAGCCTCAATTCCCTCCTAAGAAATGTGTGGATATGGGACAAGGGGGTAAGTGTGGGGGAAGGACTGGAGAACCAATTCCTTCTGCCAGACTCAAGAGTCCTACAACTATATCGGTAAAGACATAGTGTGCGGAAAGTGTGGGATTTACCTAAGAAATCTGCACTGAGACCAATTCACAGGTAACTGGATTTTTTACTCTGAGTTAAATGAAATAATGTAATATAAATAACAGGTATTTAATTAATTCACTTATTATTATAGGCCCCTTAACTTTCAAACATTTCAGATGGTTCATGGTATTAATTATTGCACAAAGAAACGCTCCATTGTTTGTCCTAGCACCACTGTAATATGGGATGGGGCAGGAACCCAACAGCTTCCTCAGTTTCTCTGCTTCCATCATCACTGGTCTCCCGACTTCCTCCTGCACAGCTAAGCTGATGGGGACAACAGCGCCTAGGTCTCCCCTCTGATGTGATCATACCAGAGGAATGTGAGGTATCATTGAGGGACAGTTCCTGTACCAGATATGGCCTTCCTGCTGTTGTGGATTTGTCCAGTTGAAGCCCAGTTAAAAGCAATTATTTTGATACTAAGAGAGTTTTCAATAATTTCCTTCAGACAACCAGAGCTCTCATACCAAAGAGGTCAAGATTTAAGGCTAGAAATAGATGAACCTGGAAACTATTTTACACCAAAAGATCTCCCAATCTAGAAAGATTTTTTTTTCAGGCTAAATTGAAGCAAGTGAGGATCAGCTGCACCGGCTGGTAAAGTGTGATATGGTGTTTGGGCGAGGTGAGGGGGGCAGAGGGGATTCCCGCTGGGGCTCAGGGTGCTGCTGGGGGGCTTCACTGTTCCACTGCCAAGGAATGGTCACCATATTTATACGTTCTTGGTGACAGTTTTCAATTATCACTGGGGGTATTTCTTCTGACCACAGAGGTATACGCCCCAAAGTTACCATATCCGACTCTTGGTTTCAGCTCAAGGTCAGGGTCATGAGATCAAGGCCATGGTCAGGGTCATGAGATCAATCCCCACGTCAGGCTCTATGTTCAGCATAGATTCTGCTTGAGATTCTCTTTCCCTTTCGCCCTTCTCCTCTCCTTGTTCTCTCTCTCAAATAAATAAAAATTTTTTTTAAAAAAGTTTATAGCCAACTTTACTAGAATGCATTGCTTTACAAAATAAGGGATACCAGAAGTCGGTATCTTCTACATCAGGAAGTTTACCTGATCATCTCATATTCTGCACCAATTCCCTATTGCTGTGTGCCAATGGACCCCAAATGTAGCAACTTAAAACCGTATTTACTGTCTCCTAAGTTGCTCAGCAGTCCAGATATGCCTTAGGTGGGGGTCTCAGGCTCAGCACCTATTCCAGGCTGTAGTCCTCTCAAGGCCCAACTGCAAGATCTGCCTTCAAACAAGCCTCAATGCCTTGCTGACTATCCATCAAGGCCACCAGTTTCTTGCCATGAGTGGGCCTCTCCATACGACCGCTTACAACATGGCAGCTGGCTTTGCTCAGAACGAGATGCCCAAGAAGAAAACCATATTCCATCATGTCTGCCAAGTTCTGTTCATTAGAAGAGAATCATTAAGGCCAGCCCACACAAAGGGAGGGAACAGCCTAAGGACACATGGATACCAAGGATCCTCTCAGATCTTCCTACCTCATTTTATCATCCCCAACATCACTGTGCCCTGTATACATTTCTATCACAGCAGCCATTCTGCTGGGTATGACATTTTTGTATTTTTCTCCTTATCTGGATTATAGGCCTCTAAAATAGAGGGACAGAATCTTTCTTACTTGCCTTTTTAATCTGTTCCTGGCACACATTTTGGCTTGTGACAGCTGCTCAAAGATGGACTTGAAGGTATTAACGTGAAATTAACTTTACTATTTTAAAATGATTTTATTTATTTTTTGGAGAGGGGGGGTGCATGAGAGAGAGAGAGAGAGAGAGAAAAAACACGGGCAGGGGAGGGGCAGAGGGAGAAGGGAGAGGGAGAAGCCCAATGGGAGCTTGGAGCCCAATGTGGGACTTGATCCCAGGACTCTCAGATCATGACCTGAGCCAAAGGCAGATGCTTGACTGACTGAACCACCCAGGCGTCCCCAATGTGAAATAAACTTTAAGTTGATTATTCCTTCTAGAATTCATTTCTAATCATTGGATTTCTAGTTTCTAACTGACCCAGTATACTCAGATGCACCACTAGTTTTATGAGTGAAGCTAAACTGCTTTTCTCATTTGCAAAACGTGGTGCTTGGATGGGGTGAGTTCCTGGTTCCTTCAAGTTTTGAAGTCTGCCAGGAGTAAACCATCTTCGCGAAGCCCCCCAAACCACCTCTCTCCACCAGGTTCAAGTTTCTCAGCCAAATGATCAGTGTTCCTGTTCCCCTAAATGCGTGCCTCTGCCCCCATTCTTGGAGGCAAATCTTGCTTCTTGCCATTTCCCAGCGGAGAACAGGCAGAAGCTGCGGGCCGACGAGCTGCGGAGAGAATATTACGAGGAACAAAGGAACGAGTTTGAGAACTTCGTGGAGGAGCAAAATGATGGTAAGAGCTCTTCCCCCAGTGTCTTCGGGGAAGTGGGCCTTTGGGGGAAAATAAAAAGTTGCTTCCACTTTTCCCTAAATTTGAATTAGAAGAGGGAGGGGTAAGAGAGGCTCTTTCCTCAGTTCACATCTACTGGAATCTTGAAGGAAGAAAGTCACACAAATGGCTACAGAAGTTGAGAAGGAACAGAAGAGGACACAACACCTAGATTTCCACTGGCTCTGGGAATTTTTGGCTGATCATATCTTCTCCCACTTGGGGACTGAGGTGGTGGCCTGTGTTCCCTGTCTTAGTGCCTATGCTAGTGGGTTAGCCCTGGTTACAGGTGTGTTGGAAAGATTTCAAACTCACTTTCCACTCCCCTGGATTCATAGCAACATAACAGCTCTAGGAACTACTCATTCTGGCTTCCATTCACCTATTCACTATCATCAGTATCTTTTTTTTTTTTTTTTTTTTTTTTTAAGATTTAACTTACTTATTTGGCAGAGAAAGAGCACAAGCAGGGGGAGCAGCAGGCTCCTCCCAAGCAGAGAGCCTGATGTGGGACTTGATCCCAGGAGCCCGGGATTATGACCTGAGCCAAAGACAGACACTTACTAAGTGTCTAAGCCACCCAGGCACCCCTATAATCAGTATCTTATCTGACCGTTGTAACCAAACCAGGAAATCTGACCTCAGAAAGCAACTCACCCACAGTGTTGGGCACGCTCTAAGTTTTATAGGCTTTGCGCAACTGCTCTTGTCTTTCCTAAGCCTTGGCTTTTTGTCAGCGTCTCTGGCCAGCAAACGACACACTTGATTCCCTGCCTCTTGATTCCCTGCCTCGGCCCTAGGGCAGATAAGGCTCCTGGCCCAGCTCAGGCAATGTTGATTTCACCAAGGCCTCCGAGGTGACAGCTGGGTGTGGGCTTGGGCGGGGGGCAGAGGGAGGTGCTGTTTTTGAACCAGACTCCATGGCATGGGATGGCACTTTGCATCAATTAAGTGTCCTCAAGTGTCACTCACACCAAAACCACATAGAAATACTTATTAGGGCTGAGGCTAGCAGGATAGAGTGTATGTTTATTTCGGTTTGGTCTTTCCCCCACACTTCCAGAAGGAAATGCTCCTGGGCAAGCTCCTGAATGTATATGAGCTTGGACAAAAGGCCCCAGTTTAGGTGACCTTTGCTACAGAAAGTCCGTGATTTTCATTCTGATGTCATGAGCCTCCTGGCTTGTATGCTCTGGTTGATTTGGGAGGTAACATTCTCTGAGGGCTTCTCTTGGGAACAGGATAAAATCACCTGGTACTCAGGGGCTGCAGGTCATGCCCACTGGCTCACAGGTGGCACCTGAGCCCTGCAAACAGGTGGTGGGCTTGGATCCCACCAAATCAAGCTTTCCTGGGAATATCCTGGTGGGTAGTGCTAGGATGTTGTAACTCAGAGGCAAAATATTTCTGTTGGACAGTTGTTTACCTTGGTGGACAGTTTGGTGAGAGGCACTTAAAATATGAGTATGTGGCCTGAAAAATTCCTTCAGGGATTTTTTGTTTTGTTTTGTTAACTCACTGTATTAATAATAGGACTTTATTTTGAGCATCTGTAAATGTTTCTAGTCCCCATACCTAGCATCTGCTTGGAGAACACTCACTGTTTTCCCTTTCACAATGAATTAGGGTGAGGGGCCAGCACTCAAGGGATGACCAGTCCTCTACCAAAGCCACAGAGATAGCAATCGGGGGGCCTGAGGCCTTGCCCACAGAGGTGAAGACCCCCGGCCAGGCCGCAGGCCTACAGTAGTTGTAACACTGGAGCTATTGTCACTGGTTGAGCACCAGCTCTGTCAGGCGCTGCTCTGAACCACCCAACCCTTATACCCAGCTTCTTGGGTCTTAAAAATTTCTGTTTTTGTTTAAAAAACTCAGGCTTAGAAAGGGTGCCTGAATATCCAAGGTGCCATGGCTAGTCAGGGATTTGAACTAAGGTATGTTTGCCAGCCAAGAAGTGTTCTTACAAATGAAGGATGATCGGGTGCATGGAGGTCTCGGGGGACCTTCTTCCATCTGGGAATTAGTCCCTGCAGTGGGATGGAGTGAGGAGTGAGGTAAGGAGAGCATGCCCTCCCTGCCCCAGTGCCCCCACAGCTGGATAAAGAAAGGAGGCAGAGGTGGAGCAGGTCCAGCCTGCCAAAGGGTAAATGTTGATGTGAAACACATTTCAATTCTCCTCCTCTGCCCTCACCTCTGACCTCTCTGAGCGGCAACACCAACTGTGGTAGCTGGGTTGGTGAAACCTCTCCTCCAGGGCAGCACGTTCAGTCCTTCTCTGATGCCCTCACATACTCCTCAGTCCGGACCCTGTTTTTGGATTGGCTATTTTTCATCTGACCATGTCACCTATTCTCAGAATAAATGGCAGCAGCCGCAGGTTTGTCCCCACCCCTTAAAAACAAATGCTAAGGAATGACTGTGGATAAATGAAAGGCCTAGGATTTCTGAAGGCGTAAGTTTAGGCAGGTGACTTTCCTGAGAGCTTGAGAAGTCCATTTTGCAGGCCATCAGCCCATCTGGGACACCGGAGCTGTTCTGGGAAAGCTGTGGCCCCTGGCTATTTCTCTACTCAAAACCACCAGTTTGATGAGGCAAAGATGCCTTTATGCCTTTGAGTTCTGAGTCTGGAAGTGTCAGGATAAACAGTGTGTTGAGCTCCTACCCCTGAGGTCTGTGTGGGAGCCAAAGTCTGCTTCCACCTTCAAAGCCAGAAGCCTGGGTCGGCCCATCTGGGCTTGACCACATGACACCTGGCTTGGCTAAACATGCTCAGCCACAGGTGGTCCCTTACACAAAAGCCACACTGTTTGGGCCTTTGCCAGGGAGAACTTCCCTTTGTCTAAGTGAAATGGTATATGAAGAAAGCGGCATGACCTAGAGAAATAAAATCAATTCCTATGCCAAAATCATGCTCTCAAGATTGGCAAAGAGTAGCTGATCTATCTGGCCTGAGAAAGCTTAGAAGACCCAAAGCTCCAGCTGGGGCCTGACTCTAAGCTCCAGGCTGTCCTGGGGTACTAAGTCCCAAAGGCAATTTCCAGCATCAAGGGTAGCACCGACTCCAAGCTCACAGAGGAAGGAAACATACACAGCAGCCATGATGCCTGAATACCCAGCAAGGGGTCCTTCTTGTCGAGGGCATCTGCTCTCAAGGGGGCTAAGGACCACATGGACACAAATTTTCTCTGCATCCTGATGTCACCAGGCCTTCCTGTTCGCCCAGTGCTCCAGAGAATGAGGTTCACTAGCACCAAAGTCAGGTTCACAGGCTTTTTGGTGGTGAAGTCCACATTTGAAAAAAAACAAAGTACAACTTTTGGGGGTCTGAATCCTTGATACCATTTTTTTCTGTCAGAACTTCCTATCCTCCCAACATTTTCCACAAAAACTTAAAAACTGTGGTAAAATTTACATAAAATCTGCCATCGTCACCACTTTTAAGTGGACAAGTCAGTGGCATTTGGCTTGTTCACACTGTTGTGCCATCAGCAAGACTATGGATTTCTAGAACCCTTGCATCACCTCAGAGATGAACTCTGTACCCATTATGGAACAGTTAACTCCCACAATCCCTGCTCACCTCTAGTACATTTTGTTCTCTACCAATTTGTCTGTTCTAGGTATTTACAGAAGTGGAATCACACGGTACATGTCTCTTTGTGTCTGGCATAGACACATAAACACTGAACGTGTTTCAAGTTTCACACATGCTGTAGCATGTTATTAGAATTTCATTCCTTTTTATGACTGAATAATACATATGTATGTCTGTGTATTTGTATAACTTTTTGTTTGTCCATTCATTTGTCCCTGTTTTCACTTCTCTTAGGTATATACATGGGAGTGGAATTGTTGGGTTATGTGGTAATGCTGTTTACCTTTTGAGGAGTCTTATGGTTGCCTTTTTACACACTGAGGGACTTGAGAAATCTGCTCGTGCTTTTATGGTCCCTAACAAAAACAAGCAGTGTGGACTTGGCATCAGGAGCCTAATCCTACAATTGAACAAAGTCGTTATCCAGAGACATGTCTGATTAAAGACAGCAAAATCAAGACTTTCTTACTAAAAACTCCCTTCTGTTCTTTTTACCCTTTTACTTGGAAAAATTTCAAACACATGGATAAGTATATAGTTCAGTGAACCCCCATGTAACCACCACCCAGCATCAACGATTATCAAATTTCCCTCCACTTTGCTTCACCCACCCCCTTTCTGGATAGTTCTTAAAACATAATTTTATTTTTAAAGCCTGAGAAAAAATTACTCATAATGCCATCATTTGAAGATGACACTTATTTCCTTCCATGATGTCATTTTTTAACCATAAAGCCTGTTGTCTCTTTTTGTTACTGTTCTGTTCTCTTTGTACTTCTTTTCTTTGTTGTTGCCTCTCGCGCTTTGCGGGCTGTGTAAGGGAAAGAGCACAGGCGGGGACATAGATCTTGATCTTGACTCTACTGCCTAACAGCTCTGTCTCCTGACTGGGCTTTGTACCCAAAGTGACCCAGCATTCTGTCAGGTCTTTCAACTCAGACATTCTGTTCTGTGCCGTTTGCTCATGTCGCCACAGGGTAGGTAGTTTGGATAGATGGCTGCCAAGAGCTTGGTGGCTCTCCTCAGATCAGAGTCCTCTCCATGCTAACACGACCATTTTATCTCTGTTCCCCAGAACAAGAAGAGAGAAGCCGGGAAGCTATTGAGCAGTGGCGCCAGTGGCATTATGATGGCTTGTACCCATCATATCTCTATAACCGCCACCACATCTGACCTCATCGTGACAGACCACGGTGGAGCCTGAAACTCACATACCCACCCCAGGTGTTTGAACAACACTTCCATGTGAACAGGCCCCTTCAAAGGGTCTCAACTTGGGGCCTGCTGTGGTAAACACACATGCCTTTTGTTCTGATGGATTAAGATACCCTGGCTTTTGCTTCTTTGCAGATGATTTTCAGAGGTGGGCTAACACCTGTGGGGCTTCCTAGCACCAAACCCACAGTGACTTCCCCTTACTTAGCCATTGTTCCCACGGTAAGACTCCTGTCCTGTAGAACAATGCAAAGGATCGCAGTAAAGAGAAAAGATGATGTTTGCTTACAGCTTAGAAATAAAAGTGCTGAGTCATCGCTGTGTATCATCTTGTGAAATCTCAAACCGGGTCATGCCAACTTGTCTCCCTGAACCTGAATGACCCATTACTCTCACTGACTTAGGCATCTGAAAGCCTGAACTCAAGGGATATTGCTCATGATTTTCTCAGCCTGTCTCAGCAAGTCACACAAGTGAAAGAGAAATGTTAACACAATTGGTTAGGTTAAGACCATTCTCCAGGACTGTTACTGAGCCCAGATGCTTCTTCACATCTCTGAGGAGTCTCAGGGTTCAACTGTGGTTTCTTAACGACATCGAATCAAAAGGGAGGGTTACAGCAAGGCCAGCTGTAACCAAAACTATAAAGCAGAAGAAATTTAGCTTTGGTATTACCTCATTTTTCCCTCCTAGTGCCTGTAGGCCTTAGCTTAAGGCTGCTATAGCATTGTGCAACAAGGTGGGTGGCTTGGCACAATAAAAATGGATTCTCTTACAGTTCTGGAAGGTGGAAGTTCAAATTCAAGGTGTCAGCAGAGCCATGGGTGCTCCTTTCTAGGGGAGGATCCTGCCTTGCCTACTGCAGCTTCTGGTGGTTCCAGGACTCCCTGGCTGGTGGCAGCATCACTCCGATCTCTACGTCTGTTGTTACAGGGCCTTTTCTGTCTTCACATCATCTTGCCTCTATGTGTATGTGTCTCTTCTCTTCTTGATATCACTTTTTTTTTTTTTTTTAAGTCAACCCTATGCTCAATGTGGGGCTTGAACTCACAAACTCAAGATCAAGAGTCATATGTTGTACCTTCTTTTAAGGACACCAGTCATATTGAATTAAGGAGGGAGGGGGACCCAACTCAGCTTCTAACAGTGTCCCTTTCTTCTCTCCCGACCACCCCACTGCCTGCCCCAGACTCACCATCTATCTTACTTTATCTTTGCATTCAATTACCCTCAGGAATTCCCTACTTAATGCAGAACAATCAAGAACAACTACAACAGGCACTTCTGTGGGGACACAGTGCATTAGAAGATAGAGGACTCTAGATGAACTACAAGCGCCTCCTCTTAGCCATCTCCCTGTCTCCACCCCAGGCCCTCTGTTTCCCCTGAGACCTGGGTCCCTGGCCTGCTGGTCCAGCCTGCTTCTGAGGTTGGGATCCCAGAGCAGCATAGGTGGACTTTGCTTTAAGGAGAAGCTGCTCACTATGGTAAAATACCCCACCAAAGGGAAACCTGGGTGGCTCAGTGGGCTAAAGCCTCTGCCTTCAGCTCAGGTCATGGTCTCAGGGTCCTGGGATCGAGCCCCACCATCTGGTTCTCTGTTGAGTGGGAAGCCTGCTTCCCTCTCTCTCTCTGCCTGCCTCTCTGCCTACTTGTGATCTCTGTCTGTCAAATAAATAAATAAAATCTTAAAAAAAAAAATACCCCACCAGAGTTGGCACAATTAGAGCAGGCCATTTTATAATGAATGCATGTATTTTTAAGTAATCTTTTAAAAGGCTGATAAAAATCTAGTGATGAAGCAATCATGCATATTCCAGATCACCTCATCTAGTCAGCACCATATTTTCTCACACAAACTTTAAGCAGGAGCTGAACCGGCCTTGGGAAGGTAAGAAGGGCATAGGGAAAACTCTATCATCAAACACTGTCACCTAGGCAGGTGGAATAGAGGAGCCGTTCTCTTCTCAGGAGTCCTGGGACTCATACTGTGCAGACTCAGGCTTGGGGTCCAAGTCCCAGCATGACAAAAGCCACAGGAGTGCCCATTTTCTCTGTACTTGTGTTGATGATGCACTTGTGTTGAATTTGCCTTAAGCATGGAGACAGGTAGCCGAGCCTCCGGAATCCTCTGATTATGCTCGGAAGAGTGTACTCTGAAGTCGTGTTACCAGTCTGCACCTTTGCGGTCTGTGAGTGTCTGAACTGGATCTAACTTGAATGGTTCCATAAGAAAACCAGGAGAGTAAAGAAAACTTTCCTCCGAATTGAAAAAACATGCACATGATACTTAACGGAGAACTGCTAGTTCACCACTTAAAATGTTCTTCACATGTTTACTCATCCTCACCCAATTTTTTTTTAACATTTCCCCTGTAAAATTATTTCATTTACAGTATGTGGTCAATGTAGCAAATTCAAACAACAGAGAATCCATTACACACCGGGTGTCTGGCTGCACCTGACTGGCTCAATCCATAGAGTGTGTAACTCTTGATCTTGGGGTTCTGAGTTCGAGTCCCACATTGGGTGTAGAGATTACTTAAAAATAAAATCTTAAAAAAAAAAAAAAAGGAAATCCATTACACATGAGAGTTCTTCCTTTTTGCTTCTTTAACTCTACTCTGAGGTAAGCCCCGTTGGTGGTTTCGTATGTATTCTTCCACTTTTCCTGTCTATTTCTCACACACATAATTCATCCTTTCTAAAGGCAAAATAACACTTAATTATGCAAATCCAGATGGCCCCACAATCAGTGCAGAAAGGAACTACCTAGCAGATCTGAGTTGGTCATAAGGAACTGGCTGGTACCAAAGCTGAGTTCTGGAAGCTCCCTCTTTCTAACAAGGTCTAGCAAGAGTATTTGCCTCAACCAAGTAGCTCATTATTAAATTGTCACAGGCATGTTCTGTGGTTCTTTCCATAAGTAAGGAGAGCATGATGGAATTGAGTCCTTTTACTATAATCCTTTTCACGGTGGAGCTGATGCAGCTCTCCCAGCTTAAGCACACTTCTCTGTGAGGTAATGGGTGCTTAGGGAATTGTTTGTGCTCCTAAGTTTTCTCCAGTAAGCCCTATTTTGTACTTACATCATATGGCCTAGTGTTTGTGTATGTCTTTGTTCCCTGTGAATGTCAGTGACTATACTAGACTTAACTTACCCATTCCTCTATTAGTAAAAGAGGTTTCTTGAAAAGAAATGATGGTTCATAACTTATACACGTTAAACTGGACAAATCAGATTTCTCTTTGAAGAAATTATATGTGCTTTTTGTCACTGGACACCTCTGCCGGTCCTTTCTTAAACAAGCAAACTGAGAATACTGGCAGAAATGTCGGGAATGGGGAACTGTTTCGGGATACACTGTCATGGTGTTTCCTCAGACAGAAAATTTCATCTTCAGCTCTAGTCTCCAAATCACACCCCATCTGCAGGAGCCACACATTTCCACCAGCTACCCCACAGCCTTTCGGCCTGTTTTCAACAGAAAGGCTCTTTAGGAAATCTGCTTTTCTCCGCAGCCTTCACTGAAAGGACCCAACAGCTTTAAATGAGAACACGATCACACTGGAGGAAACTGGCATCAAGAAAAAAACTTTGCAGTTGCCTCAAAATTTCTTTACTATTTACTCATTACCTGATAATTATTTGAGAATGAATATTTCAAAGTTTCAGAACATAAATCTCAACAGAAAGGAATGGAGTTCTGCTGTTTGCTATTTCCCTTTTCTGATCTTAAGTGGAGAACTCAGTCAGCTTGGGCAGAACAAAGGTCAGAGGTATTTCTCTCTGGAATACTGGGCCGGAGATGCACACAGGGGCCCCATCCGCTTCCTACTGCACCCTTGACAGTGGCAGCACAGGGAGCCCTAGCGAACTGGCCAGATATACCTCTGCCTCAGTCTTGCTCTTGTGGGTGGGGCTCCTCTCAGCACCTCATCTCACACCTAGAAGAGAAATTCCTTCTGAGCGGCATGTAGGAGCAACATAATCCTGTACTTAGCTGGGTTACTAAGTGCAAGTAGACATGGCGAGCCCACCAGCTGCGGCTAGGAGTTGGGCACCAGCCGTGCAGCCTGGCTGACTGCTAGCTCTGAACCTGAGGCAGGACTGCAGGCTGCTGGCCCAGGGGGACAGGTGAGCTGGCACTTTACCCACATGAAGCTGCCCTCCTGCTTGGCCAGATCCAAGAGCCTTTCAGTTGGTAATCCTAATTTACAAGGGGGAATGAGTATGGTTACACACACAGCTGTGCAATAGAAAAAAAAAAAAAAAAAAGCAAAGCGTTGCTCTCCACCTTAGCCATAAAAATGGAGGAGCCACATTTTGGGTCATTTTGGTTATAACACACCCAAATGCCTTCTAATAAGAGGGCCAGCAACCAGGTAGAGGGCCGCTGATGGAATCATACCCACAGCCACCCACACCTGCAGGAAGGGACGTTGAGGCCAGGCAGATGACAAGAATCAAGAATGGTTTGGCTGAGTAGCCAGTTTAAAACATAAAACAGCCTGTCCTTGCCTCTTTAATGGCTATGCTTGGAATATTGGCTCCAGATAAAGACCTCTGGCAGAAAAAATAAATCTATTACCTCATTTTACGCCCCCATCCATAACAAGGGTCCCATTATACCTCAGCATTTTCAAATTCTGCCCTGAATTCCTTCACTAAAAACCAATCACAGTCATTTTTCCTGGGCAGGGAGAAACATGCCAAAGGTAACACAATCGGGAATCTGGGCAGCCACATTTACTAGGAAGTAAGTAATGGAGCAATCGTATTTTTAGAGACTGGCCTTGTCAAAAGTGTGGCCTTTTGGACACTTCCCTGTTCTTTCATTACTCTCTCCGGGTCCTTTAGGGATTCTAGGCAAGTGGTTGAAAACAAATTTGTCAAAGGATGAATTGGTGAAAATTTATTACTTTTATTTACTTTATTTATTAAGAGTTTGTTTGTT